TAAAGAGATTATAGGGTAACAGTGACAGCAACACTACAGCTGAAAGGGACAAGCAAAGTTTGCTAGTCAGTGTAAGCCTACAGGTGGCTTAGAAGACAAAGGCGTCAGCTGGGAGGGGTGACTCACACCTGTAATCCCAGCACTTTGGGAGGCCAAGGGCAGGGTGGGGGGCAGATCACAATCCCAGGAGTTCTAGACCAGCCTGGTGAATATAGTGAAACCCCGTCTTTCCCAAAAATACAAAAGAAATTAGCCAGGTGTGGTGGCAGGCTTACCTGCAGTTCTTGCACTTTGGGAGAGAGCTGCGTGGATCATGAGGTCAAGAGATTGAGACCATCCTGGCCAACATGGTGAAACTCCATCTCTACTAAAAATACAAAAATTAGGCCAGGCATGGTGGCTCACGCCTGTAATACCAGCACTTTCGGAGGCCGAGGTGGGTGGATCACAAGGTCAGGAGTTCAAGACCAGTCTGAAAAACATGGTGGAACCCTGTCACTACTAAAAAAAAAAAAATACAAAAAATTAACTGGGCATGGTGGTATGCACCTCTAGTCCCAGTTGCTCAGGAGGCCGAGGCAAGAGAATTGCTTGAACCCAGGAGGCAGAGGTTGCAGTAAGCCAAGATCGCACCACTGCACTCCAGCCTGGGCGACAAAGCGAGACTCCGTCTTAAAACAAAACAAAACACAAAGCAGAAATTAGCTGGGCAGTGATGCTCGCCATGTCCACCTTCACCTCCTCTTTTTGTAGTATTATTATTATTTTTTTTGAGACGAAGTTTTGCTCTTGTTGCCCAGGCTGGAGTGCAATGGCACAATCTTGGCTCACCACAACCTCTGCCTCCCATGTTCAAGCGATTCTCCTGCTCCTGAGTAGCTGGGATTGCAGGCATGCGCCACCACACCTGGCTAATTTTGTATGGTTAGTAGAGACGGAGTTTCTCCATGTTGGTCAGGCTGGTCTTGAACTCCAGACCTCAGGTGATCTGCCCACCTCGGCCTCCCAAAGTGCTGGGATTACAGGCGTGAGTCACCGCCCCTGGCAATTTTTGTATTTTTAGCAGAGATGGGGTTTCACCATCTTGGCCAGGTTGGTCTTAAACTCCTGACCTCATGATCCACCCACCTCAGCCTCCCAAAGTGCTGGGATTACAGGCATGAGACACCTTGCCCGGACTTTTTTTTTTTTTTTTTTTTTTTTTTTAGATGGAATCTCACTCTGTCACTTGGTGGAATTCAGTGGCAAGATCTCAGCTTATTGCAACCTCCACCTCCCAGGTTGAAGCAATTCTCTTGCCTCAGCCTCCTGAGTAGCTGCGATTACAGGTGTGCACCACCACACCCAGCTAATTTTTGTATTTTTAGTAGAGACAGAGTTTTACCATGTGAGTCAGGCTGGTCTTGAACTCCTGACCTCAGGTGATCCACTACCCTGGGTATCCCAAAGTGGGAATAAAACTTTGTAATGCTCATTTGTTTTTATTTATTTATTTATTTATTTAATGACTGCCTTTGAGCTACAACAGCACAGGTGAGTAGTTCTGTAAAAGCTAAAATATTATTTTGCCTTTTACAGAAAAAGTTTGTGGTTGGACACAGTGGCTCACGCCTGTAACACCAATACTTTAGGAGGTCAAGGTGGGAAGACTGCTTGAGCCCAGGAGTTAGAGACCAGCCTGGACAACATGGTGAGACCCCATCTCTAAAAAATAATTTAAAAAAAGCTTGTTGGCCCCTGGGCTGGTCCAGTGGCTCCCCTTCTACTGATGAGAAATTTGAGGCACAGAGAAAATGACTGGCCAGAGATGACACAGCAAGTCAATCGCAGAAACAACTCTGGCTCCCTTTTAGTGCTCTTTTTACTTCATTACCATATAAAAGCGGAAAACAAAGGTTTCTCAGCTTCTCATGACAATGACTACTTGGTCCTTTTATCCACCTCATCTCTGCTCATTCTCATCCTTGTCTAACCTAGGTTCTAGTATGGGCAGCTGCGTCTGTAACCTCGAGAGGGCAGCACTGGTTAAGATGACACCAAAATACAATCTCTTATCTGTGACCCAAAAAGTAAATATGTCCTGTCCTAAGGAAAAAAAGGAAAATGCATTAGAAAGGGTCTTAACTGCTTCTTCTTTTTTTCTTTTTTTTTTGAGACGGAGTTTCACTCTTGTTACCCAGGCTGGAGTGCAATGGCGCGATCTCGGCTCACCGCAACCTCTGCCTCCTGGGTTCAGGCAATTCTCCTGCCTCAGCCTCCTGAGTAGCTGGGATTACAGGCACGAGCCACCATGCCCAGCTAATTTTTTGTATTTTTAGTAGAGACGGGGTTTCACCATGTTGACCAGGATGGTCTCGATCTCTTGACCTCGTGATCCACCCGCCTCGGCCTCCCAAAGTGCTGGGATTACAGGCTTGAGCCACCGCGCCCGGCCGGGTCTTAACTGCTTCTGATGATATATATGCATTCATACCAGCATAAATGTAAGAGGTTTTCCTTTTTTAAAAAAAAACTGCCACTGGGCATGGTGGTTCACGCCTGTAAGTAATCCCAGCACTTTGGGAGGGGGTAGATCACGAAGTCAGGAGTTTGAGACCAGCCTGACCAACATGGTGAAACCCTGTCTCTATTAAACACAAACACAAAAATTAGCCGGTTGTGGTGGCATGCCTGCAATCCCATCTACTCAAGAGACTGAGGCAGGAGAATAGCTTGAACCCGAGGCGGAAGTTGCAGTGAGCCAAGATCGCTCCATTGCACTCCAGCCTGGGCGACAGAGTGAGACTCCATCTCAAAAAAAAAAAATTGCCAAACGTAAATTCAAGCACAAAAAATCCCCACATTCCGCTAGCGTGGAAAGCACAGAGGCCCCATCAGCAAAGGCAAGACAGGCATTTGAGAGAAGCACCCAGAGACACTTTTTTTTTTTTTTTTTGAGACAGAGTCTCGCCCTGTCAGCAGGCTGGAGTGCAGTGGTGCGATCTCGGCTCTCTGCAACCAACCTCCATCTTCTGGGTTCAAGCAATTCCCCTGCCTCAGCCTCCCAAGTAGCCGGGACTATAGGTGTGCACCACCACGCTCGGCTAATTTTTGTTATTTTAGTAGAGATGGGGTTTCACTATGTTGGCCAGGATGGTCTCAATTTCCTGACCTCATGATCTGCCCACCTTGGCCTCCCAAATTGCTGGGATTACAGGTGGGAGCAACTGTGCTTGGCCCCTAGAGAACTTTTAAGTGCTTCTGGGGGGGAAAAAAAAAAGTGTTTTCTGAGCATTGGGGGAATATGAAGAGAGAGAAAATTAGATCTTAGAGAGCCCAAGGGACAGTTTTAAGTAGGTGAGTAGAGCTAGACTTGTGACCCAGATTTGTCCTTGTCTGACTAAAGAAGAGGTTCCATCTTTTTATTCTGGGATGTCCAATCATAAAATGGGGCTAGTAGGGCTTGCAGCCAATGAGGTGTTTATGAAGTACAAATAATGTATGCAAAGGGCTTTGAGATCCTTCAGATTAACACATGCCCTGTGCAAGGTGCAAGATGGACTGGTGTTACTGTGAGGACAAATATACTTTGTGGGTGTCACCATTGTTGTTTCGCAAGGCAGTGGGGAAAAAAGTAGGTTATGTGGCACAATCCTTCAACGTGACCCAGAATTGGTCCATAGGAAACTTGTACAGACTATCACATCAGATGGTGAAAAGAAACATCACTGAAAATGCACAAATCCCCAGAGGCAGAATGGTTAGCTTCATGATGCAAAGTCATGCCTAGAACAATCTGGTGAGGCTATTTAGTAAAACACATTTGTTACTACTCGCTTTACAGGGAAGAGGACCGAGTCACATTACTCAGTAAATATCTTTCCTTAGACTGAACTTGGCTTCTAAGATTTTCTGAGGAGGCTGGGCGCAGTGGCTCACGCCTGTAATCCCAGCACTTTGGGAGGCCAAGGCAGGTGGATCACGAGGTCACGAGATCGAGACCATCCTGGTCAACATAGTGAAGCGCTGTCTCTACTAAAAATACAAAAAACTAGCTGGGCAGGGTGGTGCGTGCCTGTAACCCCAGCTACTCAGGAGGCTGAGGCAGGAGAATTGCCTGAACTTGGGAGGCGGAGGTTGCGGTGAGCCGAGATCGCACCGTTGCACTCCAGCGTGGGTAACAAGAGCGAAACTCTGTCTCAAAAAAAAAAAAAAGATTTTCTGAGAACTGAGCATTTTTTTTCTTAATTTCTTTTTAAAATTTAATTTTTTTTTTTTTTTAAAGACGGGGTTTCACCATGTTGGTCAGGCTGGTCTTGAACTCCCAACCTCAGGTGATCTGCCTGCCTTGGCCTCCAAAGTGCAAGCCACCACACCCAGCCTAAAATTTAATATTTTTTTTTTTTTTTTTTTTTTTTTTTTTTTGAGATGGAGTTTCGCTCTCGTTACCCAGGCTGGAGTGCAATGGCGCGATCTCGGCTCACCGCAACCTCCGCCTCCTGGGTTCAGGCAATTCTCCTGCCTCAGCCTCCTGAGTAGCTGGGATTACAGGCACGCGCCACCATGCCCAGCTAATTTTTTTGTATTTTTAGTAGAGACGGGGTTTCACCACGTTGACCAGGATGGTCTCGATCTCTCGACCTCGTGATCCACCCGCCTCGGCCTCCCAAAGTGCTGGGATTACAGGCTTGAGCCACCGCGCCCGGCCTAAAATTTAATATTTTTTTAAAAACATGGGCCGGGCGCGGTGGCTCAAGCCTGTAATCCCAGCACTTTGGGAGGCCGAGGCTGGTGGATCACGAGGGCAAGAGATTGAGACCATCCTGGTCAACATGGTGAAATCCCGTCTCTACTAAAAATACAAAAAAGTTAGCTGGGCAGGGTGGCGCACGCCTGTAATCCCAGCTACTCAGGAGGCTGAGGCAGGAGAATTCCCTGAACCCAGGAGGCGGAGGTTGCGGTGAGCCGAGATCGCACCATTGCACTCCAGCCTGGGTAACAAGAGGGAAACTCTGTCTCAAAAAAAAAAACAAAAAACCAAAAACACATTTGTCATCCTTGCGCAAGGGCCATGCTAATCTTCTCTGTATCATTCCAATTTTAGTATATGTGCTGCCGAAGTGAGCACAGAGAACTGAGCATTTTTTCTAAATAATCTTCAAAGGCCTGGCGCTGGGTTAATAGCAGGAACTGGCCAGGTGTGGTGGCTCACGCCTGTACTCCAAGCACTTTGGAGGCCAAGTGGGGCGGATCACCTGAGGTCAGGAGTTTGAGACTAGCCTGGCCAACATGGTGAAACCCTGCCTCTACTAAAAATACAAGAATTAGCCAGGTGTGATGGAAAGCACCTGTAATCCCAGCTACTCAGGAGGCTGAGGCCGGAGAATCGCTTGAACCCAGGAGGCGGAGGTGGAGGTTGCAGTGAGCCGAGAACACACCATTGCACTCCAGCCTGGGGGACAAGAACAAGTCTTCGTCTCCAAAAAAAAAAAAAAAAAAAAAAAAAAAAACAAGAAAGAAAAGAAAAGAAAAAAGAAAGAAAGAAAATGATGGCTTGACTTGATTCACTTCTTGCAGATATTTTATCAGGACCAATAATAAGGGCTTCTAGGAGTAAAATCTCAGTAGACAGGAAACTGCCTTCAAACTTCAGCAATCAAGAATATTACTTACTTTAGCCCCTGGAATGCATGAGAAAATGGAAATGCACTGAATGAGATTTTTACAAAATTTTTATCCGCCAGAACTTTGGTCCAGATCAGTTCTGTAACATTCAGGAAGACCATACAGATTCCTCAGGAAAATAAACAGTGCAGTTTATTGCAGTTTACAGTGGAGTATGATTAGTTAGGAAGGAATTAAGAAATCCTTAGCAGAAATATCAATACATTTAAAACTTCTGGTCAGGCACAGTGCTCATGCCTGTAACCCCAGCACTTTGGCAGGCTGAGGCAGGCAGATCATCAGAGGTCAGGAGTTCAAGCTACTTGAGGGGCTGAGGTGAAAGAATCACTTGAAACCGAGAGGCGGAAGATGCAGTGAGCTGAGATCACACCACTGCACTGCAGCCTGAACAACAGAGCGAGACTCCATCTCAAAAAAAAAAAATAATAATAATTAAGGGCCAGGTGCAGTTGCTCATGCCTGCAACCCCAGCATTTTGGGTAGCCGAGGTGGGCAGATCACGAGGTCAGGAGTTTGAGACTAACCTGGCCAACAAAATGAAACCTTGTCTCTACTAAAAATACAAAAAATTAGCCAGGTGTGGTGGCAGGCACCTGTAATCCCAGCTACTCAGGAGGCTGAGGCAGGAGAATTGCTTGAACCTGGGAGATGGAGGTTACAGTGAGCTGAGGTTGCACCATTACACTCCAGCCTGGACAACAGTGTGAGACTTCATCTCAAAAAACAAACAAACAAAAAGTTAATTCTGTTACACAGAAAAGTAAATGTACAACTCTAATGCTTTATTTGCTTTGGAAAGTATAATCCATCAAAAAGAAAAAAAAAAGAAAAAACAGGGTTGGGCGGGTGCAGTGGCTCTCATGTCGGCACTTTGGGAGGCCACAGAAGGATTGCTTATGCCCAGTAGTTCAAGACCAGTGTGGGCAACACAGCAACATCCCATCTCTCCAAAAAATACAAAAATTAGCAGAGCACGGTGGTGTGTGCCTGTTGTCCTAGCTACTTGGCAGGCTGAGGTGGGAAGATGGCTTGAGCTCAGGAGGTAGAGAGGTTGCATTTGGGGTCAGGATTTCAAGACCAGCCTGGCCAATATGGTGAAACTCTGTCTCTACTAAAAATACAAAATTAGCCAGGTGTGGTGGTACATGCCTGTAATCCTCCCTACTCAGGAGGCTGAATCAGGAGAATCACTTGAACCTGGGAGGCAGAGGTTGCACTGAGTTGAGATCATGCCATTGCACTCCAGCCTGGGCAACAAGAGCAAAACTTGAGAGAAAAAGAAGAAAGAGGAAAGAAGAGAAAGAAAGAGGGAGGGAGGGGGGAAAGAAGAAAGAAAGGAGAGACAGAGAGAGAGAGAGAGAGAGAAAGAAAGAGAAAGAGAAAGAAAGGAAAGAAAGAAAGAAAGAAGAGCAAGCCAGGCATGGTGGCTCACACCTATAATCCCAGCACTTTTGGGAGGCCAAGGTGGGTGGATCATGAGGTCAGGAGATCAAGACCATCCTGGCCAACATGGTGAAACCCCATCTTCTACCAAAATACAAAAAATTAGCTGGGTGTAGTGGTACATGCCTGTAGTCCCAGCTACTCAGAAGGCTGAGGCAGGAGAATCACTTGAACCCAGGAGGCGGAGGTTGCAGTGAGCCAAGATTGTGCCACTGTACTCCAGCCTGGCCACAGAGCAAGACTCCATCTAAAAAAAAAAAAAGGAAGAAAGAAAGAGAGGGAGAGAGGGAGGGAGGGAATCCAATCCTTTTGACTGTTGTACTCTACCATTTTTCCTCTCTTAATTTGGAAAGATGAAGCATAGACAATTTTTTTTGTTTTTTTTTTAAGACAGAATCTCGCTCTGTCGCCCAGGCTGGAGTGCAGTGGCACAATCTTGGCTTACTGCAACCTCCGCCTCCTGGGTTCAAATGATTCTCCTGCCTCAGCCTCCTGAGTAGCTAATACAGACATGCGCCACCACACCCAACTAATTTTTTTTTTTTTTTGAGATGGAGTCTTGCTTTCTTACCCAGGCTGGAGTGCAAATGGCACAATCTTGGCTCACTGCAACCTCTGCTTCCCAGGTTCAAGTGATTCTTCCACCTCAGCTTCCTGACTAGCTGGGATTACAGGCACCCGCCATCATGTCCAGCTAATTTTTATATTTTTGCAGAGATGGGATTTCACCATGTTGGCCAGGCTGGTCTTGAACTCCTGACCTCAGGTGACCTGCCTGCCTTGGCCTCCCAAAGTGCTGGGATTACAGACATGAGCCACTGTGCCCAGCCATATTTATTTATTTATTTAGTATAGATGGGGTTTCACCACGTTGGCCAGGCTGGTCTTGAACTCCTGACCTCAGGTGATCCATCTGTCTCTGCCTCCCAAAGCGCTGGGATTACAACCATGAGCCATAGTGCCCAGCCAGCATAGATAATTATCTTGATTCTGTCTCTTGGTCAATTAGTGGCATTTCTTGCATGGACTTGCTCAAGCACGTTTACTTGCCAGCATCTGCCCCCATACATTCCAGCTCCCGGTCCTCTACTAGCTGAGCTATCAAAAGCCAATTGCTTTCCTTATGCAGCCCTTCCCTCCTACTTGAGGACTCAGATCATCCCAGCAATTCTTTTCCCTCTCCAACCCACATTAATTCCCTACTCCATCAGCAGTATTGTGCAAAAGTACTTCTTCTACCTTAAAAACTTGCCGGGCATGTTGGCTCATGCCTGTAATGCCAGCACTTTGCGTGGCCTAGGTGGGCAGATCACCTGTGTCAGGAGTTCGAGACCAGCCTGACCAACATGGAGAAAACTCATCTCTATTAAATACAAAAAATTAGCCGGGCAAAAAATAAAATTAGCTGGGTATGGTGGCAGTCACCTGTGTAATCCCAGCTATTAGGGAGGCTGAGGCAGGAGAATTGCTTGAACCCGGGAAGCAGAGGTTGCGGTGAGCCGAGATCACGCCATTACACTCCAGCCTGGGTAACAAGAGCAAAACTATGTCTCAAAAAAAAAAAAAAAAAAAGTACAAACAAACTTATCTTCATCTCTTTCCCCAGATGCTCACCCCTTACCTGCTTCCAGTCCATTTTTTCGGTTCTCCTTTTGCAGTAAGCTCCTCCCATTCAGGTATTTACTGAAAAAAGTGCAGAATAAATGACCCTTGTTTAGCATAAAGATAAATAAATTTTAGTAAAAGAAAACTTGTGCGAAAGAAGGAAAACAAGAAAGAGCAAGAGAGCCAGGCACGGTGGCTCATGCCTGTAATCCCAGCACTTTGGGAGGCTGAGATGGGTGGATCACCTGAGGTCAGGAGTTCAAGACCAGCATGGCCAACGTGGTGAAACCCCCTCTCTACTAAAATTACAAAAATTAGCTGGGCATGGTGGTGCACGCCTGTAATTTCATCTACTCAGGAGGCTGAGGCAGGAGAATTGCTGGAACCTGGGAGGTGGGGGTTGCAGTGAGTGGAAATAATGTGATTGCATTCCAGCCCAGGGGGCCAAGAGTGAGACTCTGACTTGAAAGAAAAGAAAAAGAGGAAAAGGAAGGGAAGGGGGAAGGGAAGGAGGGAAGAAGGGAAGGAAAGGGACGAAGGAAGGAAAAGGTTCTCTTTCTCTGAAAGGCAATAAATATCAAGAGTTTGTAACCAGACTGGGCAACAGAATGAGACCCTGTCTCTACAAAAAATGAAAAGTTAGCCAGGGGTGGTGGCATGCTCTGGTAGTTCCAGATACCTGGGAGGCTGAGTCAGAGAGGGGAAGATCCCTTGTGCCCAGGAGTTAAAGGCTGCAGTGGAGCCATGATCACATCACTGCTGGGTGATGGAACAAGACCCTGTCTCAAAAAATTAAAAAACTGAAAACATCCAGGCCAGGTGCCATGGTTCACACCTGTAATCCCAGCATTTTGGGAGGCCGAGGTGGGTGGATCACCTGAGGTCAGGAGATCGAGACCAACCTGGCCAGCACCCTAACATGGTGAAACCATCCTGGCTAACATGGTGAAACCCTCCTGGCTAACATGGTGAAACCCTGTCTCTACTAAAATACAAAAAAATTAACTGGGTGTGGTGGTGGGCACCCATAGTCCCAGCTACTTGGGAGTCTTGAGACAGGAGAATTGCTTGAACATGGGAGGCGTAGGTTGCAGTGAGCCAGGATCATGCCACTGCACTCCAGCCTAGCAACAGAGCAAGACTCCATCTCAAAACAAAACAAAACAAAACACGCCAGGCTTGATGGCTCACGCCTGTAATCCCAGCACTTTGGGAGGCCGAAGCAGGCAGATCACCTGAGATTGGAAGTTCAAGACCAGCCTGACCAACATGGAAAAACCCCATCTCTACTAAAAAATACAAAATTAGTCAGACATGGTGGCACATGTCTGTAATCCCAGCTACTCAGGGAGCTGAGGCAGAAGAATCGCTTGAACCTGGGAGGCAGAGGTTGCA